TATATACTAATATACTATACTATACTAATAATAACTAAGTAATAATAATAATATATACTAGTACTACTACTACTACTACTACTACTACTACTACTACTACTACTACTACTCTCTCTCTCTCTCTCTCTCTCTCTCTCTCTCTCTCTCTCTCTCTCTCTCTCTCTCTCTCTCTCTCTTTTCCCCCTTTTTTAGATTGTTCCTCTGTTCAAAAGAGTGTATGTGCAAAAATTGGGTTCATACAAGGCCCCTTAGATATATTTTTTATGAGGTTTTGGGCTGTGAGATAATACTGTACAAATTAGCTCATGGGAATAGTGTGTGTGTGTGTGTGTGAATTACATAGTTAAGTAGTACTTGTATATTTATTACCTTTTGTTTTTTAGTCTATGCATGCATATTGGATTATATGTGTATTTGCAATCTATGAAACTAAAATTTCATCGTTTTCATTTGACATTCATGGTTTTCCTTAATAACATTCCACTAGGGCTTACTTAAAATTGATCCAATTTAAATCCGTTCGATGCTTGTATCAAGTTTCAGTATGTTTAATATGATACAAACATCATGCCATTTGTATGGATTTCACCTTCCCAAAATGAAATCATTGAGAGTTGTCATGTTTCCTTATTGATGGTTCAGTTACACTTGTTCATGGTCATGGGAAAATACTAGCCATTGGATCCTCATGATGGGCATCTTCCTTATTGTTTGTTCGTCCTATCTCTTTCAGCTTATTACGAGTATCATTTGGTTGACTGGCCTCATCACATAGTGATAGTGAGTTGATATGCTCATGTCTTCTATTAGCACCATCTAGACAATTCCCTAATATTGCTAATGTCGCAGCCACCATCTATGGCTTTTGGTTGGTTGGTTCTATTTATTAATGATCTTAAATTTATAGGTACATTTTGGTTCATATGAAATGCTAAGCTCCTCATGTGAGGGGTTCCTTCGGTTGTCAAGAGGGACGTTTTCTTCTCTACCAATCAAGTGAACCAACCTCGTGGAAACTTGCAATCAAGTTTCATGGATTATACTTCTCTAGATGCCTTTAAACTGCATCGACCTTAATTGTCCACATAAACTGACTTTCTGACCTTGTCCTAGATGAATTTTTCCAGTCTCAATTACTACCAAAACCAAAGCATGTCTTGATCAAAACCTTAATGAACATTTGTTTCAATTGTAGGTATATCTCCTGTAACTTCCAACATTTTTATTGTGATAGTATTGCAAATAACAGGTAGTTATGCTTTCTACATTTGGGAAAAAATGGTATATTGGAGACAATAATATAAATTGTTCTTTATTGAATAAAACAATCGCACAATTATCTTTTTAACTTTTGTATGGATGTTCAAGTGCAACTGGTTCCTTTGACATCGATGGTTTGTTGAAATTGCTTCCAAGACATGCATTCCCCTTTTATATATGTTTTAATGCAACTGCTTATTTCCTTTGACATTTTTAGTCCTCCAAAATTGCTTCCAAAACACGTGTACCCTCTTTCTGGCTTACGTATGTTTGTCCATGGCCTTGTATGGGAACCCAATATTAATTTGTCTTTTATGACAAATGTCCTCAAAATAGGTGTTCCATTGACTCCTTGCTCTTCTGAACCTCAAAAATTTTTATTGACATATTATTATTTCAACTTCACTAACAGGATTTGAATATGCAATTTTATTAGTAATCCAATCATTTGATATCGATGCTTTCTTTTCGTTTGAAAGGAATGCTTTGCAGTGATATGTATGATATCGAAAATATACTGATCATCATCATCGTCGTCATTAGAGACTTTTCCCAACTATTTGGGGTTGGCTTTGGTCCCCCATTCTGCCCTATCAAGGACTATAACCTTAATGAGGCCTGAAGTCCCCATATCTTTTCTTACTACGTCCAACCATGCCCTTTTAGGCCTACCCCTGACCCTAACATTCCACTTGAACCAACTCGCACCTCCTAACAGGTGCTGTACTGGGTGTGCGCTACGTATGGCCAACCCACCGAAGTCTAATTTATCTCATCTTATCACATATTGGTACCACACGTAATTCTCACGAATGTATTCATTTCGAATTTTATCCCTTCTTGTCTTGCTACTTATCCATTTCAATATCCTCATCTCAGCTATACTCATTTTATGGATATGTTGTTTCTTGACCGCCCAACATTCTGCCCCATAAAGCAAAGTTGGTCTCACAGTTATTCTATAGAACTTGGCAACTTGCCCTTCAGCTTCATTGGTATGCGGCATACACATAAAACTCCGGTTGCACATCTCCACTTCGCCCGCTCGGCTCTAATTTTATGTGCGATACCTTCCTCAATCTCTCTATTTTTCTGGATTATCTACCTAAGATATCGAAAGTGGCTCTTTTTGGTGTTTCTTGGCTGTAAATTTTAATTATTTCCTCATCTCTACTCCTATTATTACTAAACTTGCTTCAGCTATGATTCCATAGTGAATCTAGAGAACAATTTTGCATGTTAGAGCCACGTGCTACATCATCCCCACCAAAGGTGAGGA